GGTCGTGGTCTCCTCACCGCTCTGGCTCACACATGCAACCGCAGCAACAATTTCTGGGCTGGCGTCCCATTGTTGCAAGCCATAAACTGAAGCCGGCATCGGAGTTGGCCAGAAGACTCCGCAATGAAATTAGAAAATTGCAATAAAAATCTTTGCACGGGACGGCGAGCAAGCAAAACAAAACAAAGTCTGCGGTTGCCACAAGGGTGCGCGTGCTCCCTGTGTGAGGCCAAAATGAGGGGTTGTGAGGCAGCATTTGCGGTTTCATTAAAATGCCACCGAAAAAGGGAGCAAAAAGTCAGAAGCCGCGTCAGCAGTGGAAATATTTTGCCACATACACGTGGATTTATTTAAATTTAAAGGCGAGCATGCAAATAATTATAAAATTGTTCAATTTCCACGCCAGACAGCTGCTGGGAAAACACAAAAAATCACGTACAACCCCAGTGGACTGAGGCGAGTCCAAGTCCCTGAATCCGGCCAGGTAAAAACGCTAATGGAGTTAATTGTGGGCATTATCAAGAATGTTGGCCAGCACGCTGCTATGTCGGAATCAAATTAAATTTCAAACAATTGACAAATTGAAATGCCAGCGACGGAAACTGAACAATAGCCGCATTCCGAGCGGTTTAAAAGAGGTTGCTCGGACGTCCACTTAGTATGCTCGCCAGCAAGGAGCCGTAAATGAATGAAATGACTCGACGAAATAGTTTTGCCAATACCGCAATGCTGCGAAATTACTTAGGACAGTGGGAGAAATATCTGCAAGCAAGAAATTCTAAAGTGCCAGAACTTCAAAGTAGGAATTGCCATGAGAAATCTAACAATCAGCAGCGGCCTTCTTTGTTTGGCTCTTCATAAGCATTTGACATGCCGTGCCGCAAGGTAGCGTGGCCGAGCGGTCTAAGGCGCTGGTTTAAGGCACCAGTCTCCTCGGAGGCGTGGGTTCGAATCCCACCGCTGCCAAGTCTTTTTTTATTTTCTTTTTTGGCTCTAGATTTTATTTTTCCGATCTTTGTCAACAGTTGTCAAGCAAGAAACTCGAGAAACATCAAAATTAGAGCCTATTCCACCCTCGAAAAACGCCGTCGCCGTCGCTCACAAATTGTTTGCTTATCGCCTCGCGTGTTGTTCGTTTTTTCCCCTGCGCACACTGTAATAATTCCCAACTTGTTCTGGCCCGATGCGCACCTAGATCCACAGGTTGGACATCGAACAGTTAAGACTATACTTCACAGGATCATTTCTGTAGTCAGTCTTCACATACTTTCACACTAGCTGAAAGCCAAGTGCACCCGCGTTGATGAGTTGAATCGTTCTATTCGGCAGCGTGAGGATTTGCCCAGCGTTCTTTGTGGTGCTCCGCATCGTTCGGGACGCAGGGCTTCGATGATCGCTCGGTAACAACGGATTGATCGAATTCTGAGTGGTGCCCCTTTTATACGAATCAATTTGAAGAATTCTAGATAGGAAAGTAGTAATTTGGAATACCCTTGGTACTGCAAAAGTTACAGCGCTGTGCTGTAAAAAATACCTTCGGGATTGTTTTCTGAATGGTTTTTGTAATTGGCTTGTTGCCTAATTTATTGTTGAAAGTATTGACAAAATTAAGGAAATAATGCTAGATCTGAAGGGATACTTGCTATTTTAGGCGCATTTTATTTATTTTACTTATAAGGAAGTAGAATATATGAACTTAAGATACCTTATTAGTGTTTTTACTTAGCACATACATACTATGATTGGAACCGTACAATTATGTCTATCGCGTTTTCATATATTTGTATGCTCCAAAATATGAATTCTTCTTTTCATTCATTTACATGGTTGATTTTTATGAGATTTAGGCCTGGTGCCTTGATTCCCCCTCACCAACTCCTTGATGTCGGTCAATATATAGACAAAATGGACGAAAGTCTTGAGATGTTTTTTTTGGTTGAAAAAATAAAGTCTGAATTTGACACAGCAGACCATCCAAGTCCAGGCCATCTATGTATTTGAAATAATTTTATTTGATCAAAGTGCAACAGTGTCCAACTTTCTGGCCAAAGCGGGTCTTACAAATTTCCACACAAATGAGGGCCAGGTAAAATGGTTGGTTTTTAAAGATGAGTACACTGAGGTATCCCTGTTGTAGTTTCATTTATAAACTTTTTCTGTTTCCAATTTATTACTACTAATTGTAAAGCTTGTTAAAATATGTATACTCATTTATAATATCCTTAGCCCGCCAGTAATTAAGCCACTTTATTGAAATTAAGTAGGAACTCTTTAATGGCGCCATAATTGAGTATGCAGAGCAGTAAACCCTCCTGGTCCCCAGGCAGAAATATTGTTGTTTCCGCTCGCTCTAAACACTGTGGCGCTGTTGTTCGGCGAAGCAATTAAAACAGCACTTGAGGGGCGACCCTTTTGCCGCTCCGCTTGTTGCCAGTTTCAAGTGTTTTTGTTGCACGTTGACAGTCCGTTAAAGGTGACACACCGGTAGCGCCGCCCCCGAGAATTATAAAACATTTTAGTGGGAAGCAGATTTCCGCTTTTTTGCTTCAAGTGCGCTTCGTGCTCAAGACTTGGCAGTGAGTGGTCCAAAAAAGAAGCGATAAACTGCAAATTTGTGATAAAATTTTCGACAATGGCTTGGGGGCGGTGGAGCCTCTAATTACTTAGCGCTGCATATGAATGGTCCTCGAGCGAGGGCGTGATTTTTGGCTTAATTCAGAGCTGCAACGATCTCAATTAGTGGATGATGACGATGACTACTTGGAAGTGCCTTCGAGTGGCATGTCCTTGGCGAACTTTCCGTGTTCGTGTTTTGGTTGGCGAATTTCTCCAGTTCTTCGAGATGGCCCCACACAGTGCATAAATATTTGAGGAGCTTGTCTGCTGCACGCAACAACAATTAAGTGCCGCCTAGTTTTTGTCAACTGTCCCATTTGGTTCTGCTCTGGGCCCTCGTTTTTGCCATTTCTGTTGCCAAACACGACACAACACGTAGTCAAAATTTATTTAAGCAATGCAAAGCAAATACGAGTGCCAGTTTGGGTACAGTGCGTGTCATGACAGGTAACGTCCATAAGTAGCATAAAATGTTTCCCCTTTAAAAAGAGGGTTTTGTTTTTGCCGAAACTCGCCATTGTTTAAATGTGTTGTTTCAATACAAATGTTTTGAATATAACACTTTTTCAAAATCCGATACAATAAAGTTAAAAATATATTTTTTTTGAAATATCAATATTTAGATCCTTTTAGAATTTATTATAAGCAAAGTGTACAACCTTGTTGCACACTGTTTCCATTTCGGTTAACTTACATTTGCCGTATTTTTTGAGTGCTTACATAAAAACACATTTGAAATGCGGTTGAAAGGTTGTGGAAGGGAAATGGGAAAGTGGGAAACGGGAAAACGGAGCCGAGGGAAAAAGAAAAGCAAGCACAGCAGCCGAGGAAGGCGAGCAGCGCCACCTAGGGGCCCGGACTGACTTCATCATCATCCTCCTCGAGCCAATCGATGATGATAATGATGATGGCGATGATGCTGATGGCAATGCGGCTGATGCCGTAATTGATGTCTTTGCGACATGCTTTCCCAAAGTGTTTACGTTGGGAATTACCCATGTGTGTATGTGTGTGTGGATGGGGTGGGGGTGGGCAGTGGGCGGCTGGCCACGCCCCCAGCTAGTTGACAGCCTGCCGTTTACGTGCACTTAATGAAATGTGCCCCAAAATGGAAGCACGTACCGGGCATCTATTTAATGAGCCCGGCAAGAGGTTCTTCTTGCGCAGAAATTTCGAGGGGTTCGGCTACAAATGGGTGGGTGGAATATGGCATATATAGTGCTTGAGTTGGGCTCATGAAATTTTTAAATGTCGCAGCTTAAATTCAATTTAATTTAGCTGCAGAGGCTGCATTATTCAATGGCACTCACACGTAAGCCGCTCAAAGAAGTCCCCTAAACCCTCTAACACCCTCTCGGAAAACCTCAGACCGAAACCCCAACTCAGACCGCAGTTTAAAATTCATGTGAGCTTTTCAACAATTTTCCCAAACAAAATGCGATTAAATGTGCGGAAAATGCTGAGCTCTTGTTCTCGGTTTTCACCCGTTGTTGTTGCTGCTGGATGAGCCACAATGGGTTAAGGCAACGTCTTGTTTGCACATGTGTCGCTAGGGGGCGCCACCCCTTAGCCCCCTGGGCCGCTTTGAAAAGTCGGAAAAGTCGGAAGTCGGAGTTGAGGCACACACATATGCACTCACATGCCGAAGGTGCAAAAATGCGTTAAACATAACATGCTAATTCCTAGCGCCTGCAGCTTCAATCTTTCACCTGGCCTCCCTCACCACCCACCTAGAGGGGCTATATGCACCCCCATCCCTGGGCCTCGGAGATCGTCCTGCGGCAGGACTCGTTGGCTATGTAATACGAGCGTTTTGTGTGCCATTTGATGCCCAAGTTTCCCTCTATTTTCTGCCATTTGCCTTTGTGCCATGTGGGGGTTTCTATTCCCTGCCAGAAGGTAGTTTCGTTTGGTTTTCAAGTTATGCCAGTGGAAAACAAGAGAAGGACTTTAGTTGAATTCGTAAAAATTTAGAAATAATGCAATGCAGTAGTTAGATTCGGTTTTGTAATGTTTACTTATCCTAACACCTTATTTTTGGCATTTGCTTTTTGGACTTTAGGCAAAATCTCCGGAGTCTGACTTTTAAGATAACCAAAACCTTACAAAATATTAAACTATGTAGAGCTGATTATAAATTAAATTTAATAAAATTTTTCTAAATTTATTTCTTTAAAGAAGAGGGTGCTTACTATTTTGCAACCTATGCCAGCACCTTTTTTGGCTTTTACGGCCCAAACTTGGGCGAAACTTTTGATGCGTCTGACTTAGTAAAGTTATTTTAAAATTCACTAAATATTAAATTGGAACTGATTCCATCGATCGTAAGTCCCGCAGCCCTGGAAATATATAGAAAAGCTTTTGAGAGCTTTTCTTCTCTCACTTACTCACGTGCAATCAGTTGATTTTCCGCACGCCGCTAGTTAAACGTAGTTTTTGGTATGGATACATCCAGAAACGGTGTCCGTGGATCTTCCTTTAAGTACGGACCGGCTGTACGGATTGGAATCGCTGTCCTGGTGCTGCACACCGTCGGCTGGTTGGCCTGGAAGGCGTTGAACCAGGGAGCGGAGTCCAAGGAGGTGGCTGCGAATGCCCACCAAGAAAAACTGCGAGCGGCATTCGCGGAAAAGTGACATATCGGAAGTGATAAGTCAATTGTTGTTAAAAACAAACCACTGCAGACTGATTCCATTAGTGAATACAAAATAATGTAGCTAAACAAGTTTTCGTGTTTGTTTTGATAAGTCGATTCCAAGCTTTCTGTGCAAAGCTTTTATCAGATAATGATTGTTTATAATGAAATCATTACGAACGAAAACAAGAAAAAGTTATAAAATAATAAAAAAGAAAACATTGAAAAAAGTACAAGATCATATCTTTTTAATGGGCTTCTTTTAAGAAAACGTGTCTTCCTATATGTGTGTTTTTTGTGCTAATGGTTAACCAATACTTACTGGGCAGCTCAGTAAACTTGGTCAATTCGCAATTATAATAAAAACGATCAGAGAGCGTAGCTTTGGTTCTCTGAGTCCCCCAAAAGCCCTCCAGATAAAAGCTTAGCTACTGTGGACGGAGAAGTCCAACTACTACATGCCAAGCTCGGCTCGAATCAGTAGCGCAGTTCCCAAGCCCGAGGTTACAAGTCGAGACACCTGGAGAAACCAATGGATTTCCTACCGAGATTTCTACTGATCGCCGGCCTGCTGATGCTGAGCTGGCAGTGGACGGTGGCCATGCCCAACGTCCCGAAAAATCAACCCGGCGGAGCGTCCATCTCCCAACCCGATCTACCGCTCGTGGACAACTCGGCCATATTGGTGCAGAGCATCTTTAACATCGATCCATCTCTGTGCCCCAAGGGCTATGTTCGTGTGGGTCCTCACAACACGTGTCGCAAGGAGGTCTAGGAAGATGGCGTCTTCCGGGGAATTCCAGGAGATTAAGTAATAATCGGTCAATAACTGAACTCTACGAAGCAGCGATAATTGACCAACGAATGCCAGACGGGAACGTGCCAAAAGCTGTGTTTATTATTGATACTGAAGCATAATATATACGCGAACAAATAAATTATACGAAAATATGTGGATTTCCTACAAATGTTCAATCTCTGCGTTGAAGAATACTTGAATTTACATTTGTTTAAATGTAACTTCTTGCCTTGTGTTTATTGTGTTAAGTGGTTAGCTACTAGGGCGTTTTTGTTGTCTGCTAGTTAACAAATAGCATATTTTTAGCCCAATATATCCAAAATCTTAATAGGCCAAAAACTTACCTATAGAAATCGCATAACTCAAAAGAAGATACATTTAATGAATGGTAATGACGTCGTTCTTTGTCATTATTAGGTATATTTTTAATGATTAAACCAAATTGCGATGCTGAAATCGGGTATACTGGACTTTGTAACTTTTGTTGCTAAAAGGGTACTCATTATTCTCAAATCACTTTATTTCCCCAAAGAACATTCATGTGTAATCTCTGGGAAACTTGTACAACCAATCTTGCGCAAGCAACCTTATCAATAATACTAAGATCACAGACGGTGCCCCAAAAAAAGTCTGTTCTTTTGATTACTCATAATGAGACATTTATTAAAACAGTACAATTTTGTAATCTACATGTTGGCAACATACAGGGCAACATCAGTATTTGAAGGTATGCATTTTCCGGAGATACACTAGGCTTCCTTTCGGCAACGTCCTGCCATGAGTTTGGTTCCCCCCGAGCACTTAGGATCCAGGTCGAATAGACTTCGCTGATTCACCGCCTCAGGACTCACTTCCTCAGCCTCCGACTTCGGATCTCTGTTGGCTCCCGGAGCTTGGCTCAATTCGGGGGACAGGAAGTCTTGGGTGCTGAAGAGGTCCTTGATGTTGTTGCCCACAGTGTCAGGAGATGAATCTTGGCCAGGAATGGGTTGAATCACTGAGTGCTGCTGCTGCCCAGGAATCGGTTGGATGGTCTTTCCGACGCCAGGGCTTCCGATCTCTTGACCCTGATTAGGTCGTGGCTGCAATGTTTTGGGTGACTGAAAATTGAACCCAGAGTAGTCCTCCTCTTGGCTACCAGGTCGCGGTTGGATGGGATTATTAACGCTTGGCTGTTGGAATCCACCGTCGTTTTGCCCAGGTCTGGGCTGTAGAGTATTTCCCCTGCCACTTGGCTGTTGGAATCCTCCAGTGCTTTGTCCTGGTTGTTGGAATCCACCACTGCTTTGTCCTGGCTGTTGGAAACCTCCAGCGTTTTGTCCTGGTTGTTGGAATCCTCCTGTACTTGGCTCAGGTCTGGGCTGTAAGGTGTTGCCTCCGACACTTGGTTGTTGGAATCCTCCAGTGTTCTGTCCTGGTCTAGGCTGTAGAGTGTTTCCTCCGCCTGGTTGTTGGAATCCACCAGGATAGGTTGGCCTCTCCTCTTCGCTGCCTCGTTGTTGAAAGCCTGGCGGCTTTCCCGCGGGCTGCCATCTGGCAGGTTCCTCTCCTGGCTGCTGGAAGCCTGGTTGACCCTGACCCCTGGGATAATCTCCACCGGGTTGCTGGAAGCCCGGTTGACCCCTGTTAAAATCTCTTCCAGGTTGACCTCCGAATTGACCGCCAGGCTGGTATCCTCGAACTGGACCACCAGATGGGTAATAAGGTGGAACACCACCAGACGGCTGATTATCTGGATAGTACGAAGGAGGCGGTGGGAAGCGACCGTAGGCGAAGGGGGGTGGACCTGAATATCCTGGACCATGTCCGTGGTGACCATGACCATGATGGCGATGATGGTGCCTGCACAGTAAAAAATCCTTGTTAGTAGTTTACAAAACAGGTATTCGAAAATTATATAGAATGCACTTGTAGGTTATTTATTTTGATTACCGAGAGCTTTAGCATACATTCACCCAATTTATTTAAACATTAAAAGTAAAAACAGTTAGCCTATTTTTCGACTTATAATAATACGTTACTACACGGCAGTACCTCCACAGATATATCTATATAAAACACAAACATCTTCATTCTAGAACTCAGTTCTTATTGTAACAGATTTTAAACTTCAAAACATTGCACTGGGATACTTACGGGTTGCCTAGTCCGCCGTTTTCCACATAGTAAGGATTCTGGAATTCATTCCATTGTCCACTGACAATAAAGATCAATGACAGGGCCAAACTCAAAGATAAGAGCTGGGAAAACATTTTCGAAGCAGAATCGATCCACCAGCAGTGTTGAAGATTCGAAAGAGACTGATGCGTATTCTCGACGCAAAAGATGATCTAGCCAAGATGAGTATATATTGTGAGCCGCTGATAAGACAGGTTCATGACATCAGATAAGGCATCATACGTTTCGGAACCCGAAGAGAACAGTCCCAGCTGAATGCAACAGGAACTTGATTGTGCTATATGTATGTATGTATACTGACTCACCGTACGGGGCTCCAAACTATAATTACTTTGTATTACATGGCGTAAAGTTTCCCCAGAGACTTTCTCCCACCATTGTGAACTCAGTTTAAGTCATCACCAAAAAACACTGACCATTAATCAGTCATTAGTTCTATTCAGATATCACTTTATTGACTAACATAGATCTTAAAGACTAAAGACTAAGCCGGCTTTCGACAGCGTTTTGCATGCAGCTCGAAGCCCGGTCGACATTTTGGAGATGTCTCCAGCAATATCCGATTGTCTATAGTGGGTTTCTCAGTGGTGGTTCCATTAACCAGCTCCTCCCCCGATCTATTAGAGATCGCGTCTGTGGTGTTTGATGTTTCCAAAAGGGTGGTTACTGTGGTCAAGGGTTCCTCTGTGGTCGTTGTCGTTGAGTTAGTCCAGTGGTAGGTGAATTTCGATAGGTGGGAGTCTTCATCGTCGTCCTTGGGAAACACAATACGGTCATCGCTGCAGGGCCTTGATCTTCCCTCGATGAGGAGAAAAATTACCGGCAGGAGGCACAGCACCAACGGGTTAATACGAATCCACATTATCTGGGAGATGCGCGCTTGTTTGCTATGAAGAAGCTCGAAAGACTGAGCGTGGAGACGAGCTGGCGATCATCTTTCCATTCATATTCGCATTCCCATGGCTATTCCCACCGAAATTCAGATAAAAGATCGGAGCGAGTTGATGGGGAACACGAGTGGGAGCGGAACTCTCGGGCTCTCCCATGAAAACCAAATGTAAACAAAGCAGAAGAAGAGCAACAAGCTTTTTCCATATATACATATGTACTGACTACACTGACAGAAATTTAATCGTATAATAACTAAAAAAAAACATTTAAAAAATTGTTTTCTTCCATAGATTAAACGAAAATATTGAAATTAGCACCAAAAAGGGTTTATAGGCTTGGAAAAGTTTCATTAAAAAAAAGGGAGACGTTTAAAAGTATTTTACAATGTCAACTTTAGGATTTATTTATTTATTTTTTATATTATTATTGGTAGCTATACAAATAGATATTTTGGACGACTGGTATTCCAAGTTTTGGCTAATAAATCTCACCAGCAATGACGATAAATGGTTTCCTATTCCTAGCTATTAAATCTCAGTATTTCACAGTGAAGCAAGGCACACTAAGACATTTGTTTAGGAAATACACCCGTTCCTAGGCAATCTTGCGGCAGTGGTCATTAACGGTCAGGACTGTACCTTTCGGACAAATTTTCGTGGTTTCCAGGACAATCCTCGGTCCAATAATCACACTATTTGGATCGGAAACAATGGGGGCTTGAGTTTGATCCCAAGGTGCAGATATATTGGATTCTGGTTCTCTGACGAATGTGACCATCTTGGATTCGCTGGGGGTATGGCGGGTTTTATTTTCCTGAGGGGATGGTAAGTTAAGCTTCTTTTCTTTTTCAGTGGGTGTACTTCCTGGTTCCTGTGTGGTGCTTTCGAAAGTTGCAGTTCTGGAGGACCCCTTTCTGCCTTCCTTGGGGATCACGAGGGTAACATTTGTGGCTCTGATGACCTCCTCCATTTGCCGGTCAATTTCCCTCAGTCTGGACGCCAGTCGGATGGGCGGATTTTCCTTCGATTCCGAGGGAAACACAAACTGATCGTTGGGCACTCCAGCTGCACAACTTAGATCCAATGCCACCCACAGCCAGATGAATGTATAAAGTAGCTTCGGCCAGGGAAGCCGCCGTGTAATTGCCATCGCAAAATTGGTTTCGAGTGTTGGCAATCGAAGCCCAAGTAAACACGTTCACACTCGCCAATATCGCACTCGAGACTGAGTCTCTCGAGTCTCAGTTTCCGGCCCAGCTCAGTTCCAGTTTCTGATTCAGTTTAGGATCCACTTCGAGAGACAGAAGTCGGGGCCTCGAGTGGCATTAGCTTATTAGTTCTACAACCTGCTGGCAAGTGAGTGCCTGTTTGTTTGCACGCTGATAAGGCCTACATGGGAGTCAAATGGCAACCGCTTACATAATTTGCTGAGTAATCAGCGAATCGGTCGAATAACCGCAAGCCACTGCACTCGCAAAGCGAATAATCGATTCTCAAGGCAACGTCTGACAGTTTACAACAGGTTGTATGGTATACCACTCAATACACATTCGAGTGTTATCTCCCACAAGAACAAATGATTTTGTAAAATAATCTATGACTGCTTTATTTGCTGAGAGTAAATGCCCTTTTTGTTTTCTCATAGTCTTTTATTCCAATGCAAAACTTATCCAGGCGGTACTAATTTTTGGGAATCTAAGTAAACACCACTGGGACGATTCAGAGAGATGATTAAATATAACTCGATATAGGACTGAATATTTTCAAAACTTTTAGAACGTTTTTCATTGTTGGGGCAAGCAATCAAAAAATGATTTTTATTTTATAGATGGAAAAACGTGTGTCATCAGAAATATTTATTTATTCTCAGGTATGTATTTTTAGTAGAAAGGGGCTCTAGAGAGATAAGGCAATTGAGAATATTTTTTGGGGCCTTCGCACACTGTCCGGGCTCGCACCGTCACTACATTGTTGCTGCAGGACATAGATTGAGTACTAGATACAGCCAGGCAATCAAAAAAAACTTCGATATTGCGGGAAGCCGCTACGAAATTTCTATCGTAAAGTTGATTTTGAGTATTTCCAATTGATACTCAGGCAAACACGTTTACACTCGCCAATATGGCACTGAGGACTGAGTTCCTGAATCTCAGTTTCTGATTAAAAAGCTTTAGGTTATTTATTTGCACCCTGAATAGGCGTACTTGGGAGTTAAAGGGCACCGCTTTCGTAATTATATATTATGCATTATATAAAGTTCAGCAATACTAAGCGAATCGGTAGAATAATCGCAAGCTACTGTGAATAATCATTTTTACGGCATCATCTTATATATTAAAACAGGTTACAACTGAATAGGCGTTAAAACTATATTTCTCACAAAAAGAACGATTATAAATTATAAAAAGATGTTAATACCTTTCGATGTGTTTTATAATTATGCACTAGCTAATCCATGTGATGATTTTATGTTTAGATTTTTTAATATCAAAATCAGCTAAAACCGATGCACAATTCCCAATAAGTGTTATAAAAGGATCCCTCCGGACAATCTGTAGCGGAGGCGGACTTCCAATCCAATGCCAGACACATCCATACAACGAAAAACAGGAGCTTTGGACAGGAAAGTCGGTTAATTAGCATTGTAAAATGGGTTCTGTCTTCTTATATCAAAGCTCAAGTAAACGCATTCACACTCGCCAGTATTGCTCTAGAAACTGAGTAACTGAGCTTCAGTTTCCGCTTATATAGCAAATTCTATAGCCGCATCTGGTGTTCTATAACACGAAGTGTATTATACCAATAAATCTTACAAATTAAAAGGGCCCTCGTTCGTGTATGGTGTTAAGTTCTACTTCATTTTCCAATATTTCAAAGCGCTCTTTGGCATATCTAATTGAATAGTAAAGCCAATACTTACCTTTTAACCTTTTAAACATAATATGCATGTTATATAATAATTGTATTTCTCATAATAATATATAATAACATATTTGCCACTTTAAGAGGAACCCCATATTTGGCTTATATATATCTATATGTTTTTTTTTAATGAGGCTAAGCCAAAGTACAATACTTTACTGTGGTTTTGTTTTGGCTACGAACCATCATTTGGATTGCCCTCAAACATCCGAAAGAAAGTGTAGATCACAGTGGGTGGAAAAAAATATGATATGAATTATTATTTTAAAAGAGATACTTAACTGATAGATGAAGTCGAGATAATGAGAGAACAATATAAAATAGACTTCGTTTTTTAAGCATTCATGAAGCCATCATTTTAAAGATGTCTTAGCAAATACCTTAAGCTTTGCCCAACCTAACCACCCGTTATGAGATAGCCATTACTAAATGTTTCCAAGTCAGATGCGTTTCCTGGGGATCGATGTGAGGCCCATATCTCATCCCCTAAGTGACTTTTTACGAAGTAACCTGAGCCCGAGCCGTAACCTGCCTAATAAATGTCTTCAATTTGGGCAAATAATTTTGACAATTCTATTGTCAACCACCGCAAACCGCATAGGGCCCTCGATATACTCCATCCCCCTTTCCATCCACCGACCCACGTCATCCTCATCATAATCATCATCAAATGGCCTGGGTGGTTGGCATAATTTTCGCGAAGTAAAAAGAAGAGCAAACAAGAACTGAAACATAAAAATGTCATTTGGCTGTGAGTGTTGGGGGCAACTGAGGGTTAAGTACTGGAACCTTTTTTGCACTGTGTACTACATAAAAGTACATTAAAATAATGCCTGTTTAGGTCACAGACAGCTGAGGCGCAGGGCCAAAAGGCTCGTAGAGTCATTTATTTATGACACCCACCTTACCCATGCGAAATTTATGCTAAACAGGGAGGAAGAAGGCTCTAATTGAGGGGGTGGTATTGGAGTCCTGAGCAGTGGAGTGTCCTGGCAAAAGGACAATGGATCTGCGGTGCTGCTGTTAATCAGTACAAGTTTGGAAAAGTAATCAGCAAATATTTGCTGACTTTTTGTTGCGATTTGCTCAAGCATTTTCTTCATTTTCTTAAAAGCGATGTTTTTTTGTCTGCCGCATTGTTTGCCTTCTCGTTTATCTACGTATTTCCCTCTGAAATGCAAATGGAAATCTATCAAAGCATATCTTATTTAACGGCAACCTTCGAACGAAGTCGAACCAATTTCATCATCAGCGTTGGGTGCTTAAGGGCACTTGAATCCAGTTGCCTTATATGAAATGAACTACTTTCACAATTAACTTGGCCAACTGAAAGTTGTGATTTCGATTCAGTTCAGTTCAATCGTTCATCAGCATCGAATCATTGGAAACCATAATGGCATCTTTTCTTGGATTTTTCGGCATATTGGCTATGCTCCTGGGAACTCTGGCCTTAGACGGCGAAATTGTGGTGTCTGATACCTTTGGACTCAATTCAACTGGCCTTAATGAAACTGGCCTGGTGAAAACAAATTTGAAAGATGTATGGAGCTCTAATGGAACGATGCAGGCGCAGCCATACAACATCCTGGAGGTCAGCTGCCCCCAGGGATATGTCCTGGCCAACAAACATTGTCATAGGAGAGCCTAGCTACTTCTAAATAAATTGGATTCATAACCAACAATGAACGTTTGAAATAAAAACGTTCTGAAATAAATGCATAGCATTTAATAGTAAAAGTAAATAGTTTAATTTTTCAAGTAGTGATTGAATAAAGCAAAGATGAGAAAATATGTTTAGTAAATGTTTTTAAATTGTCAAAAGTGAGTATGTATACTGTAAATAGTTTCTTTTAAACCATCCCTTCAACTTAGTTGCTGGTAAATATTGCTAAGTGGCTGCTAAGTCATCAAGAAAATTCCCTCATAAAAAGAAAAACCCCTTTCCGAGCATTTTAGCACATTTTACTCGGGGTAAGAGAAAAGACCTCGATTGCCCCCAATCTTCCCCTTCCGTTCCTTGGTCAACTATCAACCAATATGTTGTGGTCGTTTCCATGTCCAACCTGGTCAAGAGCCCCGCCTCCGTTTGGGCCCAACTTCACCCCGGGGACGAGGTGGCTCGGCTAACCGCATACATAATTTGTGACAGCAACCGCAAAATGTGGATGGTCAAGAGACCTCCTCCTCCTCCTCCTTCTCCCAATCCCAAGCCCAATCCCCAGCCCCACCCTTGTTCTCTGACTGATATGCAACCCGGGGCTGTCATTAGTTAGAGGTCCATTAACAAAAATGCAACCGATGGCTATCCAGACGGTCGAACGTCATTTACAGGTAGCAGCTGCATTGACAGAACCCCAAAACAGGACTTCATGTGGATAGGTGGGTACTCGGTACTCCGGACTCCTGGCTCCGGAAGTTGGGGCATTAATTCACGAAGAGGCCATGAAATATGACTACACTCGGGGGCTCTGCTCCGCTGAATGAGTTAATTAAGCGTCTCACGGCCAGAAACATAATTTGATCTCATTTATCAGCGGATGGCAGTGGTGCGGTGCATGTAAATTTGGCTTAGAGATGGGAAATGTCAACTGTTACCCCTCGAAAAACATGTCAGCTTCATTATAAAGCACACAAAGAACAAAAGTGTTGACTTTGTTTATCAAAAGTTATAAAAAATTGGAAACCCCTTTGATATAAATGGAAATAGACCTTCCTATATTAATCCTTTATAAAAGGCACGTATTTTTTTGTAATCTTCATTTAATTGTTTTCGGTGCACACTCTTTACAAGCAAACGACTGGCGGCGCTACATCTGCTCCCCTAGAGGATTGTCCAGCCAAGGATAGACGACCGGGCACTTGTCGCACACGGTCATGTAGCGCTCCTCGCCGGTGGACACCTTGCGGACGTGGCACTGGACCGCTCGGCACTCCTCCTCCGGCAGTGCGGGACAGTCCTTGAACGGAGCGCCCAGCACGGGCTTCTTCACGTACTCCAGCATCCGCGAAATGCCGGTGAAATACACATCCGTGTAGGTGTTCAGGTGGTTGATGAATCTGGGGAAAGCGAAAAAGAAAGGTGTGATGGTTGATACAATTTGCGGTTTTAAATTTCATGTAACTTGACTAACAATGTAGTTAGTCCAGTAAGTTTTACTGTTGTATAGTAGTTTTACTTTCTTACTTTCTACTATTAAAATAGTATCCAACTATTTTTTATGGTCACTTAACCATCCATATTGGTCAAATTTATGGTAAAAAATGTACTAATCACATTTTTGTGTGTGTAAAAAGACAATGGCTTAGTAATCACGTTCTAAAAATTATACAGAAATAAAGATAACTCGAATACTTGCTTCGTAATTGTAATAACCCTATTGAATTGGTCTGTTATACACCTTCTGTGTGTTTAATTACACGGAGAAATGCAATGTACGTACTTTTTGAAGGCGCCAAAGTAGTTCTGGCCCCGCGAGAACCAGGCAGCGTGCAGATACATCCCGAAGGGAGCCCGACTGCCCTCGTAATGCCTGTTGAAGTTCTCCAGCATCCAGTCGAACAGCTCGTCCACGTCGTCCTCCGGCGGATACACGCAGGCATCGATCATGGAGCAACTATAGCCCTCGGTGTCGGTCCACGTGACCATGGGATTGACCCAAAAGCCTGGAATCGAGGCTTCTGGACAGGGACCTATCTGGCAGTCCTGCTTGGACTTGTAGTCCAGGGTGTAGGGCCACATGGCCGGGTCCTTGAACTGCTGCGTTGGCCACGAACTGTCGTAACTCAAGCCCAGACGACGGGCTGCCTCGAAGGTGTTGTTGCCGGAAATCTGGAGGAAGGGCAGGCGCATTCCCTGAATCTTCTTGGGATCCACCTTGGCAAAGGTCTCGAGCATTTTCAGCTGGGCTCCAAACTCCCGCTCCACGGTGGCCACATCAGCTGATCGCCAGTAATCGGTGCCGTCGCCATGGGTCACCGAATGCAGGGCGATCTCGTGACCCGCCCTGTAGAGGGCATTAACCCTCGCGTAGTCGGTGTACTCGTGGGACAAGAAGAAGGTTCCGGCGGCCTCACAACCGTCTGGATTGGTCAATCCCTCGAAAAGCAGCTCGTACTGGGCGTAGTTCACTGCATTTACAGCATCATCGAAAGTTATGGTCACGAACTGGAAATGAAATTAGCTTAGTTTATAGTTCCATATTATAAACATTTGTTTTTAACCAGGTGGAAGATTTTTCCATACATTGGTCCATAGCCATTACTTTTAATCATTTCTCATGTTTCTTTATTTTAAGAATGGTTTATTATCTTGATGAGATAAAAGATATTAAACCTTTTACCCAAGTTCCAAAATATCTCCAAAATTGCATTTATTTTTAACAAGATATGTTTTTGATGCAAATATTTCAGAACATTTAAGAAGGATGGTTTTCTCACCTGAGGAATCTCGCTCTCCTTGCCCTGGAACTTGGATCTGGGTAGGATGGTATCGGAGCAGCGGCAGTCGGGGAGTTTGCAGTTGGCCGGCTTACAGGGTTCGGCCAGGGGCAGGATCGCCTCCTTCTGGAACTGCTCCTTCAGCTTGTTCTTCTGCTTCTTGGACTTGGACTTGGCCTCGCCAGTGAGGACCAGGGCCAAAATGAGACCCAGAATTACCAGGGTCGGGTACTTCATGCCGTGCTAGATAGTTCTAAGCTCTGTGCTCAGCCACCGATGCTCCGTGGGCCTCTTATAACCTTCGGTGAAAGATGGTATCTTATCAGTCGGTGGGGGTTCCAAATACAATTTGCTTGTTCAACACAGGGTGTGTCTCCCAATGGGTGGGGCTCCCTCGAGTGACCTTGTGGCATCCGCAGAGCACTAACAACTTCAGTCAACCAAAAACAGACAGAACTTTCAGTTATAGACATGCCAACGATCGGAGTGGCCAAAGTTTGCCTCATTAGCATAACCAAAGAACTTGCCAGCTGAGATTTGCCGTTGAGTTGTGGAAAAGTGGAAAACTTTTCACACTTTTCGCCGGAGATCGCAATCGATGCAGCCCAAATTATGATAGACCATTCCCCTCCACAAAATGCACTTGAAATCGTAAACAAGTGCTTGAAAAACTTTTCACAACAGCGACAGGACAGGAAACTCTTAAAAACAAAGCACGGGAAGTTATAGGAGCCCACAGCCAATCATATTGGCTAGGGGGTTTTCAAATCCCAGCAGGCAGTGCGGAAAAGTCAATACAAGATTGAGGAAAATCTGTTGAAATGGGGAGGGGATCCTAAAGGAGTCTGAGAGTCAGACTTCCGTTCCCCGATTATTCGGGGTGCACGCCCCGAATGCGATTTGGTCACGTTCCGGGGCGTTGCCATCTCGGCTAGGAGCCGCAATTCGTGGCCAGCCAACCGCCAGTCAGCCGAAAGGACTCTCGGAAAAGCGGGCGGAAAAGTGGGTGGGAAATCGAGGCCACTCGGCTCCGTTGTAGGGGCAATGCAACATGTTTGAGTGAGTTCGACAGGGCAGGGTCTTACATCCATCTCTGCGAAGGATTCTAATGAAGATTGAGACTGGCTGAGTGCCTTATTGAATCCTGATTGACGGCGGGGTGAAAGCATCACCCGTTCATCATCTCTCATTAGGAAATTCCACTATGCCACAAGGGCGTTGGGGCGTGAAATCAAAGGGAAACCCCACCCAGGGGCACATGTGGCCTAATCAAACCTCCTCACGTGACCGAAACTGCTCTAAAATGCAAATTTTCCGAGGACTAATAAAAATGTTACTCATATGCGTGGAAGATTTCCCAAGTGCCAAAGGCGAACTCTGCAAAGAGAAATTCCGCACGCACGTCTGGAGCTGAAAACTATTAAGGGGGTGGTGGTTTTTGCACCACTGCCAAGGGAGGAGGGTTTTCAGTCGTGTGCCGCCCTCTCTGTTTGCCAATTTTCGCGATAATCACAAAACTAATTTGCATAGCCCTGAGACCAGCAAATCTAGGCTAATCAAATCAGCCAAACGAACAAACTCAATTTGCGGCTAGAGTATTAATGCGAGCATATTCACGGTACATACTGTATTTACTTACTTACCATGTTGTTGATGCTCTGTACTAAAAGGGGTAGGTTTATTGAGAAATCGGTCCTAATTCTAAAAAAATATCAATGAAAAGGGAAATTTTCCTTTTAAAACATTATATGAAACATATACATACATTCCAGGTATCATTATATAAATAATTCCACAAGAACAAAGCGTTTTTATATTTTATACTTAAGAGTCATTAATCTAATACAACCTACAAATTTTCTTTTATATTCCAAGTGCTAAACCATTTTTTATTTATTATTCTTAGTATTCTCATTTTCTATGGATACCCACACTTTTTAAATTTTATAATAAAGGGTATTTAGCGGTATACAATTAATGTTATTCAGCCAAAGCTGGAAAATCGTTTCTTTATGATTATAATTTTAGAAAGGGTATTTAAACTTCAACCGATGCCACCCCAGTGGTCTTCCCCAACCTTTACAGATCTCAAATCTTATGAAAGCCCTCAGTTCCATCCCATCCATCTGTTATTGCCTGATGGGACTATGCAAATCTCGGCTCACGAGATGGCCTGGCATTACATTTCACATAATTTTTGGGTGGAGAAAAGCAGGAGTCCAGGGGAAAACACGAAATTCCAAAGAAATAGGCGAAATTCAAAATTACCAAAGGATGTCGCACAGGGAGCGAGGTGGAGGAGTTGTAAAAAGGGATTTATCAAATAATTGGGATGCTGAAAGGACTGCCCGATTTTTTTGGGGTATGCAGGAAAATGAGGTGCGAACGATGCATTACTTGGGCCTGGCTTACATAGTCTTGTCCCGTCGCCCAAGGTTGCAAGTGAAGGTTCCACTGTCCACCCAAAACTACGAAGATGGAGCGAATGTGGGAGCGGGGGAGCGAGGAGGCTCTGCCCTCCAGTTGGTCTTCACCTGTCCATCGAATTATCCGCTCCAGGTGCCGCAGGTGGAGATCGTGGAGAAGCGCAACATCAGCGAGTCCTTGGAACAGGCTCTCCACGGAGAGATTGCCCAGACTTTGGAGCAGCACTTGGGCCTCCAGATGATTGTGCCTGTGGTGACCCGGCTGCAAATGCTGATAAACAAGGAGGTGAGGAGGCAGCCCACCCAGTAACGTGCCCTCTAGGTGGCTACCATCAATATCTCCTGTCATTAATATTATATCTTCCTCCCCTTCTTAAGAGCAAATATAATTTATTGGCACTTGTTTTTAAAAAAGATAATAAAATAAGGTTGAGAAAATTTGTAAACCCCCTACTGGTGCACTAAAAGCTTCTCAAACCATGACGCATATCGAAGATTTACAATGTTTTGTTGAAAATAATAGATCTGGGCTTCTGTGCCATCAAGATAACAAGCCATTCCGCAACTCCCTTAAATATTCTTTATCTCTAGCAATCATGTTGTCATGCTTAGAATTCAAAAGACTCGAGTGTTAATAATCTCATCGTATATATTTTGTAAAATTAATAATCTCAATTGAGTGGCGGGGCCATCTCAAGTTGTTTACAACCTTGAGTTGACGTGGATGGCCAGCACTCCGTCGTCCTCGGAGCTGCCGATGTAGACACTGGCCCGTCCGTCGGACCCCACGGAGACGCTCTTCCCGGTGCAGGAGGAACCGCTCTTGGCGCCGGAGATGACATCGCAGTAGGTGCCGCTCGGGAGTCCCGTCTGCAGGGAGCTGTTCAGGTCGTAGTTGTCGTTGTTGAAGGCCACGAAGCCCTTGTTCCCGCGGCTGAAGGAGATCTGGTTGCTGCCGTTGTCCCACCAGTTCTGGATGGCGTCCGCGCCCACGACGTTCCTGAAGGCCACCATGTTGTAGATCTGGCGCCACCTGTGCTCACACACCCAGCCGCCTCCGCAGGAGTTGTCGCTGTTGAAGGAGGGCGAGGCGATGGTGTGGCCGTCGGTGGTGGGCGGTCCCTGGTCCGTGTCCGTGAAGGAGAAGGAGGACATCACACGGGGCGTGCCGAAGGGGTGGGCCAGCATGAAGGCGGAGGCCATCTTGTACTGCTTGGGCACCTTGTAGGTGAGCACGTCGGCGCCTCCGGCTCCGTGTCCGCGCTGGTTGTCGTGGTTGTCCACGAAGACCAGGGAGCGGTCGGAGGCGGCGAAGCCCCAGGCGGTGCCCCAGTTGGTCAGGTACTGCAGCTGGTCCTTGCCGCGGAAGACCTTGCCGATGGAGTCGGAGTGCCGGAACTCGGTGATGGCGCCCAGCCCGGTGTACTCGCTCTTGCTGATGGCCTCGCCGCCCATGTCGATCACCTCCTGAACGATGTAGGCCTTGGCCCCCGAGGAGAAGCCGTGGTCGGTGTTCAGGTTCTTGAGCCGGCCGTAGATGACGCCCAGGTCCGCTGGCCACATGTGCTTGGCGGCGTCCACGCGGAACCCGGCCACGCCGAGGTCGATCAGGTGGTCCAGGAACTCCACCACCTTGTCCTGGACGTAGGAGTTGCCCTGGTTGAGGTCGCGCAGACCCACCAGCTCGCAGTTGCGCACCTGGTTGGCGTCGTTGTAGTTGCTAATGGCGCAGGTGGGGTTGAAGTCCAGCGAGGAGTAGGGCACTCCGGGGTAGCTCTTGCTGCTGGGGCTGGCGGTGCTGCCCCCCGTTCCGTAGGTGCCTCCGTCGGCGGCCATGTGGTTGAAGATCACGTCCACGTAGGTGCGCACTCCGGCGTTGTTGCACCGCCGCACCATGCTGGCGAACTGCTCCTCGTTTCCGGAGCGGGTGACCAGCTTGTAGGAGATGGGTTGGTACCGCTCCCACCAGGGGCGGCTGTCCTTCACGGCGTTCTCGTTGACGGGCGAGACCTAGAAGGGGGATGGGGAAGGTAGTATCTTCCTGACGACCATTAGCAGTACCATCTCACCTGCACTCCGGCAAAGCCGTTGGGTCCCAGGAAGTTCTCGCACTCGGCGGCGATGTCGTCCCACTTCCACTCGAAGAGGTGCACCATGCCACTGCGCCCGGAGGCGTAGTTGGTGTCGAACTGGGCGTTGGCCACCGCCAGGAGGGCGAGGCACACTACGGTCTTGGCCAGGAACATTTGATTCTGGTACTGGTTGTAGGTGAAAGATAGCTTTCACTCTGATTGGAAGACTGTGAATGCTGCTCCTTTTATAGTGGACCCCACTGCTACCATATCTCGAAGCTTCGGGGGGAGTGATTTGTGACTCCAGGGGATCTTATCGCCCTCGAGTGGCTTTCACCACCTAAGGGGAGTGATTTGCGATTCGTTTGCCTTATCGAAATTCCAGGCAGACGTATTGACTGGTGGTCGCATTTTTTCAGAGATGATTAGTTTGCCGGCTTATTTTGGTTATTTCTGTATCAATATTCATCGGGATAATGCATTCCTTTGATATCGGCAAGGTTATATATTTATTGGCCACTTGACTCGCAGTCTGCTGCAAGCGTGACCACTATGGACTATGATCCTTAAGCCAGATTAATAACTACAAACCAGTTCTTAATACTTACACATGCACAATACATTTTATTAATATTATTTATTACCTTTTTTAAATTTCTTAAAATAAAGGTTAATTATTTAAAACAAGTTAGAGTATGTAGTTTTCTGTTAGCACATTAACAAACATGAACGACCATATTTTAGTCGGCTTTATGCATCAATGATAAATATAACGTAGTAAATTTTCAATTAAAGTTAATTTAGGTACTTTGAACTTTGAGTCCAAGGTAAATTCTTATTTTTGTTGACACAGTTATTGTACAAATAATATGCGATGAAGATAAAATGAATGCCATCCATGTTTAAAATGTATTAATTTTCTAATGTAAATCAGTTTTGATTTGCACTTAATGTTAAATTTTTTAAATACAATTTTTATTTCATTTGAGTATGAAACGCAATATTTGAATTGAAAACAATTTACTTTTTCCAGTGAATGTTTCAGCTTTTTCAACCCAATACTCACCGTTCGCAACTCACGCGGGAATACGTGACTTCTGGCCTTGACTGGCGGCCACTTGATCCTCTGGATTCGGGACTTTCGAGTGGCAGAATGCTAACACGTAGGAAGACGCATTAATTGGCGACTGCTGACTGTCGACTGCCGGCCAAGTTATCTCTGTCTATCCAGGACCTTTTTCGGCTTTGCATGCTCACATTTCCTTCCTGTCGCAGTGCCAAATGAAATTTGCAGCGCATTGGGAAGTGAAAAAAGCAGAGAAAGCCCTCTGAAGGCAGAATGCAACACATGGAGCTAGTCAGACTCCTTGGGGCGCTTCCTGTTGATCCTTGAGCATGTGAGCATGTAAGGGTCCTGCCACGCCGGATGTCTCTGGGTAATTTAGATAGCTGCAGTTCTTGTTGCTGCCGCTCAAAGTTGCATAATGTCAGTTGGAAAGTGTCGCAGGGCAAAGGACATGCGAGCACCCACAGGACATGCAGACATCTTAAAGCTGCGATAAGCCCGCAACGATTTTTTATGAAATTCCAAAGACTGCAGTCGAGAAGAAGCTGTTTGCTCACAGCTCCCCCTTTTATTTTCCCATTTTTTCCCCTTTTTGGCTCTTAGTCAACATCCTTTTTTAATGCGACTGTGTATGCCCGAAGGATTTGTGCGTAATGAAAAACTGTCACGGAGGGCGAGGGATGAGCCTAAGCCATCTCGCAGGTATGTGTGGAGGAATTGAAAAGCGCTAGCCGAGTTCCGGAGGAGCATTAAAATGGCAAATTTGCGAGCAGGACTCGGAGCAGGACATTTATGGCCGACAGACGGCGACGACAGGGACATAAAAACGGCGACGCCTGCGTGATAAGCGCATAAATCAGCCAAAGGACGAAGGTGTATATATAGGTAGCCCTTTCTCCAAAGCCGATAGCTTAACCCAAGACGTAACTCCCCTGCAGACACTTTTTAATATCGGTTCATACCTCAACTGCGGCGTGGGGTTACTTGAGTAATTCATTCCTTAGTTAATTGTGACTTAAGAATGCACGGATCTCGGAGGAAATATTCTTGTTTATTACTAAGTGAATACCCTTTAAAAACGGATATTTAGTAATTTTTTTGACACTTTGGTCCGATTTCTCAATGTCAAGTTAATGTCTAGTTAGAGAATGTTAGCATGCGCTACATTTTTCTGCAAGAGCAATTTACCCTAAATATAAAAGTTAACATGACATTAAGAAATCGACTCTAAGTAGGTTAACTTAGCCAGTTAAAACTATTATGGAAAATAATTAAAAATCCCTCACGTTAGCAAAGTATCACATGTGCTTTCTCTGTAGTTCCCATCTAGGGACCTTTACTGCTACAGCAATCACCATCCTGAGGAATTACATGCGCCGTGACCAAAACGCGAGTGGAATATGTTATACCCGAAAGGACAACGGCGAAGGACATTCCACGGAGCTCATTGCTTATGCTCGAACACGGAGCAAATTCAAATTACAAATTATGTTTTCGCCATTGACCCGGGCTTTACGAGAGTTTCCGCCCCGCATCCACACCCGCCCCCGTGAGTCCCCCAGTCTCCACCCACATCCGTATCCGATGGTCAATGTCCGCGCGGTGTCAACTATTTAGTTTCCGGTTTTAACTTGCGCCATAAACCGGGCGTTATGTGTCCGCTTTTATGGCTTCTAGCGACGTCCCGGCTTCATTGTTTCTTAATAATCCGACGAGCGTCTTCGGAGTGCACACGTCCTCGCATTAAGGATGTTTATGGTCCAGACACTGTTTCCACTGGGGATGGCGGTGGGGACGAGGGTGGGGATGGGGGTGGTGACCCCGACTTCTCCCCGACCTCGAGTTGCATGTGGCATACACATACACACACACCTCCGCTGCGTTGCAGTCATAAATGCGCTTAATTGGCAATTTTTGTGTAAGCGTGTTGAAATTTTTACTCCCCACCCGACTCCACCGACCCCGCCGAAAGTTGCAGTCATAAATAGGAAATATGCTGCTGGAGTGCCGGCTCCGATTCTGCGGGGCAGGGGTCTCCGCTTTTATGGGTCATGCATGAATTTGCCGGGATTTATATGCGGGCTACATGACCTGGATTCTTATGGCCCACAACCAGAACCATTCGTTGGGCTAATCAAAAGATATTTCGGCAGCCACATAACAGGAGTTGCCTCGACCGCAAATGGACATTATCTTTTTAATACTGGCAACGATTTATTTTATTATTCACAAACACTTTGGCGCTGTAGTGAGATTACCCTACAAAAGGTGA